TTTCTTTCTTGTTTGACCTTTAATTCACTGGCCCAGTGTTTTAACGTTTAAACTCCTCCTGTCAACCATTAAACTGGATGCAGAAGTTCAGAGATGTTTGTTTGATTTTTTCCAGTGCTACTTTATTTTCCTTCAGTTGTGTGGGGAGGAAACCAGTCCTGGGGACTCAGGGTCCAGGAGGCACTTGATCTCTGTCCTTCTGTCAGACTTCCTCCACGACCCAGGACTCTCTTCACAGAGCCCTGGCTTTGAAAACGGGGAATGCAAGACGATGTGTGGAGTGCTTGAAGAAAATTTCAATTTGGGGGTGTTTAAAAATCCTTTCAAAATGTATGTTTTTGTGTATGTTTTGTGCTATAATACGTTAGAGTAGTGCATGTACATAGTTTATAAATACACGTATTGGAAGACAAGCTCAAAGTTTTCTAACAGTGCGGTGCGACTGAACAGTGTGGAGCATCTCTCGAGCACAGCAGGGCTTCAGGTGCTCTGTGGGCTTAGGCCCGTGCACAGTGAGCACTGTTGTAATACTCACGTTGGCCACTGTTGCTGTTCTTATTTCCTAGGGATACTTACTTATTTACACTTAATCCCTCCTCAGTGGATCTGAAATGCTCATAGATATTTAGCAAAACAAGATTTTTCTTTTTCAGGAAAGGTGTGAGTTGGGGAAAGGAAATAAAAGTGAGAGAAAAGATGAAGTCAGGAGTTAGGTGCATGCGATTTTACTAATTTTGTTTATAAGTGAGCAGGAAGTTTTAAGATCCCTAGTAGGCAGTATAAAGACAGAAGTACTATCAAACACACAAGATGTTTGTAAGGTAAAGACAAAAATGTGCCCATTCCTAGTCCTGGGCCCAGAGAGACATGCCCTCACAGGTCCTCAAAAGGGGAGAAGCCAGTCTGAACCCAGGCCCCTCGCACTTTTTACCAGTGGTCTGTTCCACAGCTCAGAGAGAGAAGAATTTGGCTCTATGTATATGTTTGATATCAGTGGCCCTTAGTTCCTAAACAGTTCTGGAGGTAGTCCATTTAATTTACTTCTTGATGTTTTTTTAAACCTACAATTTGATTTAGATCCCACCAAACTACTTATTGGGCGCTGGACTCTATTGTTTTGCTTTTTTAATCCTATTTTTAATGAACATTCAACACATGAGAGAACCTTCAACAGGCAAAGAGGGGTTGAGGGGAAGTTGGGAAGTAGATGGAATGGTTCTATTGCAGTGCCTTATAATAGCAAAATGTATAATGACTGAGTGGGCCTCTCTCCCTGCCTCCCCCTGTTAGCCGGTGACTCCCTCTTGGCTGCTCTGAGCCCACAACTGGCCTCTCTCCACCAGCCCCTGCCCAGGGGCTGCTCTTGTTAACAAGGCAGACTTCATGAACTGCCGAATACTTTTTAGCCACAGATACTTAAAGAACTCCTTTTACGTGCTGAGAACTGTGCAAGGCAAAGCGGGTTTTAATACACACTGCGTATGCGGTCAGGACTGGTGTCAGACGTACGACTCACTGTGTGTGTGTGTGATCAGTTTCTCCTGCGTCGTTTCCGTATTTATAGAATGGGGTTGATGATTCTGAGCCTTTCCACCTCTTCTCACATGTTGTGGTGATCATGTATTTGTCCTAGTATATTTGGAAAGTGCTTTGGAAATAGTATTGCCCTGTGCACTAGTAAGTCTGGTTAAATGTGCTGTTACTGCAGAGGAAGTTAACCCTCTGTCTCTAGCTAAGTGGAATTTTCAGATTACATGGAATTCAGAACCAGCACATGTGAGTTCAGAACTAGCACAAGGGGCAGTACCAAACCTCATTTCATACTGACTTGAGAGGCACAGCCTAACCTCACAGCTTGACAAAACTTAAGGCCTGATAAGTCACTCATTTTACAGGATCCTGCATGTCAGCAGAACAGTTGAGACCCCGTCTGAGTGATGATGGCAAGTCTTAATTGACAAACACTGGCATTTATATGAATTGAAGGAGTAAGATGTTAGAATTTTTGAGTTGTTAGGGAGCTTTCAAGATTACCTAGTCTCTGGAAAATGTCAAGTGGTACTTATTTTTCAGAGCTTTTTAAAACAAACAAACAAAACAAATCATGAGTTAGAATGTTGCCCTGGGTGGTGGGGGGTGTGTGTGTATGTTAACTTGAAGGTGACTGGGTTAACTTAATTAGTTTATCTCTGTTAACCTGGAAGAAAAACAGGTATTTTTGGATAGCCTGTCATTTGCTGTAAGAACTACTTTCCTTTCCTTGGAGGGGATGGAGCTGCCCTATTTGGTGTGCTGTTTAGGTTGTGTGGGGAAACGGGGGCCTTTATCTGCCCCAGTGGACCTGCTTCAGGGCTTGACTGTACCTGAACCGAGATGAAAGTTCACTGCCCGGGCTTCAGGCCAGGCGGCTGGGTCTGGTACTGGACCCCAGGGAGAGTGTTGTGAGGGGTCAGTCTCAGTGGAACATCTTGGTGGGAGGGCCTGTGGCTTCAAGGCTTCTCACCTTGGAGACGCTTATACTTACAAACATTATAGACTCATAATATCCTTCTTTTGAAGTGGCGGCTTGTCTGGGACTGCTGTTCCCAGCTACAGTTCCTGCCGCTGGGGCCTTCCACCCCCCACCCCTCACTTTGCTCCCGCTCACTGCCAGGACCTGAACGGTGTCCTTCATCGGGGCCTGCGCGCTTGTGGCTGTGCAGTGAGAACCAGTCCTCCGGCCTGTCCCTGCAACGCAGGAGCCCTGACCCGGCTGTCCCTGCTCAGCTGCTGCTTGGGTCCTGGAAGTCCCACTTCCAGTGCTGTCACCTGTAACAGGAAGTAGGGAAGTCCCAGTTCCTGCTCCCACTGCTTGAGGTCTGGGTTGAGATCAGGCCCTTCGGGATTTGATTCTGAAGTACAAAGCCCTCAGGGAGAGCAAATGAGCAAAAACAAAACTGTGACTTCTGCTTTTCACCTTAAGAATATGTGCCCCCAAATAAAACAGCCACTGCATGAAAACCTAGCCTGTCACCCTACCCCCAGCCTGGGACTATTTCTGTAACTTAGACGTTGGGGTAGCCCGGGAACCTAACTAATTACAGCATGCCCAAAGGAAAGCACCCTGAGTCCTGGCTGGACTTGGAAACGACAGTTCATAACACAGTCACAACTTATTAACAAGCTGATTAACAACTTATTAACAGGCTGGTTGTTAACAGGCTCATTACCGTTTATAAGCAATAATCTCATTAATAACTTAAAGAGTATTCTTGTGAAGCCCTCAGCACAGTCTGACACATAGTGACCTTCAATAAGTGTTAGCTGCTGCTCTTACCACCGCCAGCATTTTTAGGATGGAAAGAGTCATACCTCATATACTTAGGCTCCTGTGAGTGAACCATTTGAGAAAACATGCAACGAAGGCTGTGGTTGATTCCAAACAGACAGACAGACTAGTATTAACACTCCTGATAGAGAACTTGGAAATGTGGAGAGTAATGACAGATACCCAAAGAGTGTGACGGGCCTGTCCCAGATCAACCTGCACTCCGTTAGGGATGTAATACCCGCAATCCTGAACCAGTAACAGTGAGATTAAGCGTTGTGTCCCTGAAGTTTGTTCATTCGCTCCGCTCCTTCATTGAAAAAGCAGACATTTACTGAGCCCTGGGTATGTGCCAGGCTCTGTGCTGCTCAGAAAAGGAAGAGATCAGCTCCTGACAGACGCTCTAAGGAGGCTTCAGCTTGTAGGAGGGGTTTTTAAGCAGGGACATGAGCAGTGGATAGTGAGTCCAGGCTAGGGCAGCAAGAGCAAAGATAGTTTTAGGAATGTGACAGGATGCCCTGTGGTCACGTCACAGTGAGGAAATTGTTTTGTCTTTGCTTCTAAACCATAAAGAACATTGTAAAAATAAAACAAAACCAAACTGCTGCAGACCCTTTGATCCTAGATAATGGACTCCATTGGAACTAACTCACCAGCCTGCTGATAGTGTGTGTCATCCTGACGTGTTGATAGAGCAGCTTAACCTGGGCAGCTGGGTCCTGCATACACTCTGACCCAGCACACTCCCAATTAAGTCTTGCTTTAAGGGTCTGGGCTGCTGGGATCCAAACAGGGATCCGAGGACGTGGCTCCTATTCCCAAGGACGCCAGCCAGCATTGGGCCCACGGTGGCCTGTGCTTGCCAGGGAATCACATGTGGCTCAGCGCCTTTAAATCAGAAGTGGCTGTTTGTAGATTTGTAGGGTGAGTGTTACTTTTTAACTTCATCATATTCCTCCTCTTTGCCAAGATGTTTTTCCATCCTGGCTTTCCTAGAAGAGCTTATGTTTTAGTTCTGCAACCAAAAGCATCCCTTCCCATGCTTGTATTTTTCCCTGCAGTGGGTAGGTAGAGGTTTCCTGTCTAAGCTGCTAAAGGCATAAAGTCAGGTCAGCCTCTCTGGATCGTCTTGAACAGATGTTATGAAGCCTAATTCTAAGGATTGCATTTCTGCTTGACTTTGTAATTGTATTTTGTTTTCATAGATTTGCTCCTGCATCTTTTCTGCATTAACCATCGTGCTGCCCTGCCCCCTCCCTCCATGCACAAGTGTTGTTAATTTGGGAAAAGTATTTAAAGGTTCAAAGGAATTTAGTGAGATACGAAATCTTTTGTGAGCAATTCATCTTTGTTAAAAGAGAGCATATGTCATTTCCAAATTACATAGATTTACTGTTGCTCTCAGATACTTTTAGACAGCTTTTTCATTATCTTCTTATCACAGTTTTTCCCCTCCCCTGTAGAATTATTAAGCAATTTATTTCCCCTGATAAGCAACATTCTTCTAATTTACCAAAATACATTGTGCGAAACATACTTTGATAAAAATCTGGGCAGACCAGGAAACTTTCCATTGATTACATGGAGAGCAGTGTGTGTGTATGTGTGTGTGGGGTGTGTGTGAGTAAGAGAGAGAATTCTCAGCCCCAGCTATTCCTGGCTTCCTTCAAAGTATTTTGGTCTCTCATTTCAGCCACAATTACAAGTTCATCCGAAAATGATGACCGGAGTGGCTCCAGTTTGGAATGGAATAAGGACGGAAGCCTAAGGTTAGGGGTACAGAAGGGAGTTCTTCATGATCGCAGGGCAGATAATTGCTCCCCAGTGGCAGAAGAGGAGCCCCCCGGGCCAGCGGAGAGCGTGCTGCCCAAAGCCGAAGCCTCAGTTGGAGATGGTCCGGTCCCTTATTCTCAGAGCTCCAGCTCGCTAATAATGCCACGGCCCAACTCCGTTGCAGGTAAGGCCACGCCTCTCCCTGGAAGGGTGATCTCACTGGGTCTGAGGCACCCCCTGCTCACCCTTTTCACTTGGGAATCTAATCCAGACACAAGCCAGCCTTGGGATGGTGGGTCACGCACTTGTACCTTTTGTAGTCCTCAGTCTACCCATCTGTGAAATGGCAAGGCTGCACTTAATAGTCTGTAAGTGATCTTTCCCCTCTGGAGTTCTTTAAATCCAGTATTTAGACTGTATGGCTCTTTGTGTAGGAGAGAAGAAAGTGCCAAAAACCCTGTCCTTGTTTTTGTTATTTTAAGCCTGAGTAAATTCAGGATTTTATCATTACAGCTTGGTAAATGGGAATTGTTTAGAATGAGTTTGTTACTATCCGCTTAAAGAATTTCAAATCCAACTTTCAAACTTTTTTTTTTTAATTAATTGAGGCCTGTTGTACAGATGGGAGGTCCAATTTCTGTATAATTCAGTTAGAAGGGAGCTCACAGTTCAAAACATAAGCAGCGGAAACGAGAGCTCTCCATCAAGGAAATGGAAACAGGCATGACAGATGTGCCTTAGCGAAATGGGGCAGCTGGAGCTGCAAGAGAACGCAGAGTGGTGGCTGGTGCTGGCTGGCTGGTCAGTGGGTGGTCCTGAGGCCAGGAGGGTAGCTGGGGGTGGGTGGGGAAGGGAACTCCCCACCTGAGCTGTTGTGCCTGCTTTAAGATCCAGAGTTGCTCACCCCAGTTCTCTTGGGTTGAATTTAGAAGAGAAACTTGTTTTGAACATTCTTGGTTACCGGTGTCCCGCTTAAAATTTTTCCTCTGCTAATGTGTGGACCCAGGATCTCTGTTCCCACATCAAAGGCCTTCTCTGTGGTTCTATACTGCTCCCTCAGGATGTGCCGGGCCACTCTGGTTGTTGTTGGGTGTGTTTTACAGTAGTCCTCTGAAGCAGCTGATAAACAAATGGCCCTAATGGAAAAGTTCTGAGACACAACTCTTAATTCACTTTCAGAGGAAGTAAAATGGCCTTGTTCCAGAAGAAGGGTTTGGGCTGTCTGCCAGAGGGAAGTACTGAGAGCTTTATGTGTATTGAGTGATGGTTCTTCCAGAAGCTTTTGTGTCCTGCCACCACCATCCCACTCTCTACGGCATAATAGGTTGCACGCAAGGCATTTTAGACCATTTTAACCTAGACATAATGAGTGATTCATTCGTATTGTCCCAGGACTTCATGGCTTTCTTGACTTCAACAAAATAGTGAGCTTGTGTTCAACTCAGCGAAGCTGTTTTAAAATTAGGAGACACTTTGATAAACTGATTTAACAGTGTTAAAAGGACCCCATTTCGGGTTATGTTTTCTGCTTGATGCTCTTTTATGCGGTGTCCTGCCTCGTGAAGTGACAGTGGGTGTGAGCTCTGTGTTTCCAGGAGATGGCGGAGATTATAGAGCAGGGCTTCTGATTTCTGCTGTGCTCGTTCATTAGCATCCATGGATGCGCTTGAACTAGACCTCCTGCGGAATTGGGAAGGTTTTACCTCTGGGGTTGAGCAGTGTCTGCCTAGCCTAATGGATTTGTTCATTTCTCCCGTGTTGCATATTTTAAAAACTAAAAGCACATTTTGTAAGGAAATAGGCAAGTACCTTATGTCATAGTATCTGCTAAAGAGCTAGGGACCTGCTAGATTCTTTATTGCCTACCCTCCTACCTCAAAAAGCTGACCCTCAGTTAAAAGGGAATGGCAAGATTTTTCAGGTCTCACTGGGAAGAATGAAGGACCCGGGTTATAGACTACATGCAGCGCTGTTTGTCTAGGGATTAGAAGGCAGGCTGCTGCAAACAGGGCAGCAGGCAACAGTGTTCAAAGGATTGAAGAAACGTGAGGTGGACCATGTGCTGAGATCTCTTGGGAATGTTTGCATGTTAAGATGCAGGTAAACACAGAGAAATTGCTGTTTGATAGAAAAGTATTTTGGTCTGTGAGGGCAGAGTAAGAACTCACAGGTGAAGGGAGAGTGATGCCAGCTTCCCTGAGGGACCTGTTTCCCCTGGAGGCTGAGAACATGGAAACAGGTTCCTAAGGCTGCCTGCCTTTTACCATCACTGAGCCTGTTACAAAGAACTGGAGTTGCCTCTTCACTGTTAACCGTCCAGTACGCTGAAATTTTTTGGTCAAAGTTTCTAAAAATAAGTTGGCTAGGTTTGGTGGTTGTTTCAGTCTACGGAGAGTTTCTTTGTCAAAGCATTTGTTGGAGTGGAATTGATTTAGAAAACTGCAGTCAGGTTATTCCTGTATGTGACACATCAAAATGTATGACACAGACACCTAATTCCTTTATTAAAAAGCAGAATGAGGCTGGTCTCCCTTCTGAGACAGACCATATTCTGTCTATGGAATGTATATCTCTCTAGATAAACTTGCTTTCACTTAAAAAAAGTTTTAAAAAGCAGAATGAGAAGTCTTTAAAATATCTTAGATAATCCAGAAGTTGGGTAATTGGGTTCTACTATTTCAGACTACTGTTTTTTTCTTTTGAGGCACTTTCTAAGTGGATCACAGAACACTGTGTTTAGTTTTACAGGAAACCAACAAACAAAATTACCAGACAATTTTCTTGAAACTCTTAACTGGTAATTGCCCAGGATTTAATGGCATTTACCTTTGATAGGTTGGTCCATGGTGTTTCAAACCAGATGTTTTTCTTTGCTCAGCTTAGACAAGTGTCCCTGATTCTGCTCCAACTCCCTTCCCCCTAAAAACCCTCTTTCCGGCAGCATCTTAAAAATGTACTTCTCACCCAGATGTTAGACTTAATGTGTGTGTGCAGTGAGTGTATAATTAATGTAATTGTAGCAATATTAGCAGTAGGTTTATTGCAGCATGAAATTATTGCTTTACCTCTGATTTTTCTGGGCCCTGAATAGTGTTTAGGAATTTGAAAGCATTTACTGTTAAATAGGAGAAGTGAGTCTAATTCTTGTAATGTCCTCGAATCTGTCGGCCTAGTCACCTGCTCTGCTGAGCTGGGATCACCTGCAGTGTCCCTGCTGTGCTCTCAGGTCACTCTTGGTGGCTGTGACCACACCTTAGAAAGCAGAGGTAGCAGGCATCTGGCAGCTTGCAGCCCTGCTTGGGAGTGGTGGTCCATTTCAATGAAGCTTATTCACATTTAAAATAGTCAGGCAGAGGTCAGAGGTCAGGAGGTGCTGGGGCTGCTCTGTTGCATAACTTTGGAGCTGAAACTGCCGTGATGGGATATCTGAAAACAGGCATTTGAAACCTCACCATTCCCTGCATCTGTGTCAATCTAGGGCTTTTTTTTTTAATAATCCTTTCTTTGGAATGCCATTTATAGATCCTTCTTCTTAAACCTTTAGAATTATGGATTGAATGTCGTGTGTTAAGGGGCCAGGGTAGGAAGTGAGATAGGAAACCCTTTGGAGGCTGCAGTAGCAGGGCTGCGTTCAGGGCTGTTCCAACTCTGAACTGAACCGGCCTGTGGCTGGTAGCTGGGGTGGCCCCTTCTACTTCAGCCTCCAGCACCTGGCTGTATTCACAGTGAGGCGTGCAGAGCAGGGGGTTTGCAGAGGCCTGAGTCAGAGTCCCAGGTCCCAGGCAGGAGTCTGGAAATCTGTCCCAAGCTGTATTATTGTAGGGAACCAGGGCGAGAGGTGTGGCCTGGTGGCCTTCCAGGAAGTGTCATATGCTCTGCTTGTGAAGGGCCTGGGGAGAAGCTAGAGGTTGCCATTGGATTCCCATAAATTAGGTCTACCTGGAAATCCTGCATAAAGAGTTAGCTGAATCTTTCTTATAGGAAAGATTGGTGTGGAGTCCTGGCATAAATGTGTACAGAATATGGAAACAGGCTGTGGCTAGGCACCAAAGGGACACAGAGCATCAGTGCACACTGTTGTAAAGTCAAGCTGTTGATGTTTGTCCACGGCCTGGGAAGGTGAGTGGGGCACATGGTTGATTGCCCTTTGGAGAATGTAGCAAGAAGGGATGCACCATCACAGAGCCAGGCCGTGGACAAACTCGTGCTTATTAAACCAAGGAGTGAGAGGAGGTGGTGCTAACAGTGAGGGAGTAAAGGACTGAGGCCTTAGAAAGGGAAGGAGGAAGGGCCCAGGTCGGGCAAGTGGTGCTGGTCGGTGGTCGGCTACTGCATCAGAGCCCGTGGGGTGGCCGAGGGTCTTCAGCAGGCACACGGTCCAGCTTGACTTCTGTCCCTAGAAGCTTGGTCCCACTAATGATTTCACCAGTCCTCAGAAGCCTCAGCCTCAGGAATGAGACTCCCTCTCCCCCATCATTTGCCCTCAAATGACATCTGTATTTTATTGTGCTGGACAATAACCATATGTTTAAGATCAGCAATGCTTTATGATGGACCATTTCAGCCACAAACCAAATTAGGTTAATTTTATTTTGATTTCTCTCATTGTGACCTAGGTTGTATATGTAAATAAGAGGTTTTTAATTTTTTAAGACAAAACATGTACCATGTATTTGCTTTTAAGATTTGCCTCAAATTAACAAAATTATTTCATTCTGATTATTTTTATAATCAAGCTTATGTATGCTTGAATAGACCCTTAATGCTTTTAAACAAGTAACTATGTGCTATTGACCAGAGGTAAATGTGATTATTTTTTAGAATTTTAAAAGATACATATATACATAATATAGTATAATATATAACATTCTACTAATATATATAAATTTGAAGCTTAGGAATATGGTTGTTTCCAATAAAGTCCACATGGCTACTTTTACTGCCAAGAGCTGACTTTTAGTGTTCTGAGCTCTGTGGAATTGTCCATGAAGAATCTGCTCACTTAGTTAACAAGGTTGGAATTCCAGCAACAGCAGAAGGCTCTCTGGAGCTGCAGAGACAACCAGTTACCATGCTGTGTATTTTCAGTAAGTACTGAAGCTTTACTGAGTGGCACTTGATTGTCAAGTTTCTTCAGAAAAATTTTTGATGAAGTTTGCCTCTTTCTAGGAATAATGGAGACTCCTGGCAATCCTATCAACATGACTTTGGCTCAGTAATGAGCACTTGGTTTTGTCCACTTTGCAATTAACAGCATTGCCAGAAAAATTAACTGGGGTGGGTAAACAAAACCAAAATCACCCTGAAGTCAATTTTGTTGAAAGCCTGAAATGAATTGCTTAGTAATTTATAAATTTATAGTAGTTTGTGTATGCTGTTAAACTCAACTTTGAAGAGACTGAACTTCAGTTTAATGTTACAGCGACCAGCTCCACCAAATTGGAAGACCTGAGTTACTTAGATGGACAGAGAAATGCTCCTCTCCGAACGTCAATTAGGTTACCATGGCACAACACGGCCGGAGGTAGGGCACAGGAAGTTAAAGGTATTTATCTTTGCATCTGCTGTGATAGTGGCTGTGATGAGTTCAGCCACTAAACTTTGAAAGTCTGTGATAACCAGCATTCAAGCCTCCTCTTTTAAAAATATGGTAATGTCTGTGTGTGTGTGTGTGTGTTTGTGTGTGTGTGTGTGTGTGTAAGTATCACTAGGGGTAAAACTGAAGGCTGTGCTCAAGTGATATGCAAACAATGGTAAACTGAGTTTTTTAGTGTATAAAAATATGACATTTTTCTAAAATGATCTTTCTTTTTCTCTTAGCACGATTTGCTCCCTACAAGCCACAGGACATTTTGTTGAAGCCCCTGTTGTTTGAAGTACCGAGCATAACCACAGACTCTGTGTTTGTGGGAAGGGATTGGCTCTTTCACCAGATAGAAGAAAACTTGAGGAACACAGAACTGACGGAAAACAGAGGAGCGGTGGTTGTAGGAAATGTGGGCTTTGGGAAGACGGCCATCATCTCTAAGTTGGTGGCGCTCAGCTGCCATGGAAGCCGCATGAGGCAGATCGCTTCCAACAGCCCCAGTTCATCACCTAAAAGTATGTCCGTGTCTAACTCCTTGTCTCGTTTCTTACATTAATGTAAGATAGGTGGAGGAAATTGCGGTTTGGACAGACGTCAATTCCCCCTTTCCTCAGGTGGTTCCAGCTGCTATATCAGGTTTGTGATCAGATGCTGGAGAGCTGTTTGAAGGCGTCAGTCTGTCACAGTCTTCTGCGGCTGTGACGTGGGGTGCGGGCGGCCGGCCGGCCGGCCCTGGTGTTCCCCTAGCTTTCAGGCCTATCTTCCTCTTCATATGGGCAGTGAGGCCTGATCAAGTGCTATGGGGAATTTTGGGTCCAAAAACCAAGGGGGTTGGGCTTCTGGCATAAAAAGCCAGAAATCTGTGCAGAATTCTTCTGTGCCCGTTTCTCCGCAGCCTTTGTCTTTTATACCGAATTTACTGAAAGGATAGAAAATTACTTTAAAGTGGGATGTGGTAGCCAAATACTAGACTATTCATGACTTATTTTATGTGTAATAAACTTGTTTTTTTAAAGTGTTTCTAACATGGTGAACAGAAACAAGTGAGCCACAAAAGTTTTTTTTGAAAGCTGAAAGAATATAAAAAAGGAAACCAGAAACAGCAGTTCTCCCAGGGAGGGACCTGGGTGGTGGGAGACACGGCTGAAAGGGAGCCTTGTGTTCTCATCTGGGCCTTTGCATTTGGTACCATGTTCACTTATTACCTATTAAAATAATGTGAGTCCAATCAAGAAGTACATTCAGTCTCCCACCCTACCCTTGTTGTCAGTATAGTGAAAGTAGCCTCTCTTCACTGCAGCTTCAGATTCCTCCCAGGATCCTCCTTTCACGCCGTTGCTTTCACCAAGTTCTTCTACAAGTGGTACCAGCACAGCTAAACTACCCCCTGGGCCTGGGTCGGATACTCCGGAGAACCAGAGGCCAAGAGAGGAAGCAGTGAAGTACCTCGCGTCTAAGGTAACTGCCTGCTCCGGGGGAGCCTTTCAGAGAGAGATTCGCTCGTCTGGCTGCTGAGAAATGAATTTAAAGGGGGTCTTAAAATAGACACTAGAGATGCTTAATGCAAAAGTATGGCTTTTGACAGAATTAAGGTAAAGTACTCCAAATAAAAGGTATTCATGAAAATGAGTATCTTAGGACACTGGCAGTGGACTTTTAGTCATTTTAAACAGTGACTTGAAAGAGTTCCTCAAAGCAGCCAAAGGTATCATTGCACTCACTGCAGATCCATTGTGCTCTCCGTCACTTGGTATGAGAGCAAGAGATTGGGAGTCAGGCCCATGACCCGGGCCGCCTCCCCCACCTGCACCCTGTTGCTGAGGACCCTCGGTTGTAAGTGGCTTCCTGTCAGTATTCAGTACAGAGTAACTGGCACTGATCTTAGTGCTGTCAAGATGGATTTGTGGCTGCAACTAAAAGTCTGCCTAGAGCTTGGAAAACTTCAAAGTTCCTTCAGAAATGAAGGAATAACTGAATCAGTTAGGCTAAGTGATGGCTCAGTCTTGGGGAATAGAAGCAGCGTAGCTTGTTACCTGGGATAACGGGAGAATGGTGTCCCTGTTGGGAGAGCATGGAAGGGTGAGGAGGGTGAGGTGACGCTCATGGCTCTGTTTCCCTGCAGGTGGTGGCCTACCACTACTGCCAGGCCGACAACACCTACACGTGCCTGGTGCCCGAGTTTGTGCACAGCATCGCAGCTCTGCTCTGCCGGTCCCATCAGCTGGCCGCCTACCGGGAGCTGCTGATAAAGGAGCCGCAGCTCCAGAGCATGCTGAGCCTGAGGTCCTGCGTGCAGGACCCGGTGGCTGCCTTCAAGAGGGGAGTGCTGGAACCGCTCACCAGCCTGAGAAATGGTACCTCCCAGCAGCCACTCACACCTCCCTCTCCCGGGACAATCCTCAGAAAGGGGTGCAGGGGACCTGCTTAGCCCAGGGGTAGGAATGAGGTGGGCACAGGGAGGATGTGAGTGAATCTCTCCTCCCCTGCCTCAGAACCGTCTCCCCAGCATCCCTCCTTCGCCCTCTTCCCAAATGTAGTTTTAAATGAAACATCTCTAGTAAAAATTAACTGCATAGTTGAACATTTCCGAAGTAGCTAATTTGTAACCGAATGTTATTTAGATGACTTGCTCTCTAGAAACTGCCCCCTGAGGATTTTGCACTCCTAAGTAGAGAAGCGAGTAAGCTGATTGTTTGGGGAACTTGCCAGCATGTTTTTCCGGGAGCCTCTACTCAGTTGAGTTGAACTTAAAGCCATTTCTAGAAGGGTCTGTTTGATTTTTTTTGCCCTTGGATGTTCTCCACGGTAGGGGCATTAGTGATATTATGGGCCTTCAGTTTTCCATCCTTCTCCCTCCTTGCTCCTCACCTTATGAGCTGGTTTACCTGCCTACACAGCACTTCTGCCAGAAGGTGCTGGGGGGCGAGGGGTGGTTAAAACAGGTATGTCATCATTTCTCCTTATCCCCGGGCAAAACATTGGCACTAATGAGTAAGAGACTAGCTTCAGGCTGGTAGGAAGGAGTTGATAACGCAAAGTTCTCGCCTCCATTGGCCGTGTACCTTGGGTGGAGTGCTTTGCCTTTTAAGAGTTTATAGTTTTCCTTCCAGAATCCATGGAGGGACCTCTGTGGGGGGTAGGGGAGGGGACCTAGAGCCTTAGTTGAGTTTTGTCTCAACTAAGTGTGTGTTGGTTCTCTTTGCTGTAGCTCACTCCAGTGACAGGAGGGTTTGAGCAGCTAACTGTATCATGTCCATGGGGCAGATTTTGCTGATGTGGGTAATGCAGTATGTTTCTGAAAATGGTTTTGTGAGAACTGGTTTTCTTTTGGCTCTGTGCTCTGGTTTTCACGACAAAGGTAATAGAAAATATGCTTCTGTGAAAACCATTTTTTCTGCCATATGTAAACCTCTTTAGTTTTCCCTAACACTTTAAATTGTGCATTAAAATACACTGGGTGGTGCTGTCTTATAGAAATGTGTAAGCTCTTAATTAAAACAAAAACTGTTTTATCCTTTAGAGCAGAAAATTCCTGAAGAAGAATACATTATTTTGATAGACGGCTTAAATGAAGCTGAGTTTCATAAACCTGATTATGGAGATACACTTTCTTCATTTATTACCAAAATTATTTCTAAATTCCCTGCCTGGTTGAAGTTGATTGTGACTGTAAGAGCAAATTTTCAGGTAAAAAAAAATTCTCGAATCTCTTTCCAAGACCACATACCTGTTTTACAGTTTTTACAATTTTAGATTAATACAGCTTAAACTGTTATAAATCACTTAGCAGCTGAATTGAAACTATATTAGGACTTTGAAATATTAGTCCACTGAGCCCTGAACAGGCAAAGCTCTGACCTTTTTACCCGCAAGCACGTTTATGAGGATGTCACGTGAGTTTCCCATCGTCATCGGACTATACGTGTGTTTCTAAGATGGAAGTGTCTCACCCCGGGTTCCCATAACTCAGTCAGGGGGCTGTTTGAAGTGCCTGGCTAACAGGTCTACTGGAGTTTAAAGTTATTTCTTCTGGTAGTTATTTGTATGGGTTTGCAGTGGGACTTTGTTTTTTTATGAAGGGAAGGATGAAGCAGAGAGGGGTTTGGGTTTGTTTTTTATGGAGGTACCAGGGATTGAACTCAGGACCTCATGCATGCTAAGCATGCCCTCTACCACTGAGCTCTACCCTCCCCCCAGGAGAGAGATTTTAATGGTCTATTCTGAAAGAAGGTCTAGTCCCTTCATAAAACTTAAACATTAGGTGACCCTTGCAGGGAGATGAAGAGTGCTTTTGTTAAATGTCTCTTCTCCGTCTGTCCCCTCATTTGAAGCCTAAAATTATCTCTTACCAACCTGACTTCTTTCCTCTACCCCATCCATTTTTAGTAAAGACGTGAGATACTAGATTTTGATTTTTACCCTTTTAGGATGATATTTATTTTAAATTAGCATTTGAGTCCTTTATTTCCTCATTAAAAGTAGAATTAGGTCTCATTCAAACTTGATGTTTGTTTTTACGGACATTTGACTCATACACCGTTGAGTCGTTTTTCATGCAGTGAGGAGAATTTGGCCGTCAGCAGCTCGGGAGCAGGAGTCCCGTGTTTTGCATGCTAGCTGTGTACGTTTGCAGAGGTTCAGTTAGCATCCCTGTAAAAGGGGGGAAACTGTCCTCAGCCTGCCCCCTACAGGTGTCACAGTCAATGAGGACATGAACTTAGCCGCTTCAGGAATGATAGTGGGATGTTATAAAAAGAAAAAAGTAGAAAACCCACCTCTGCTGATGGGTGTGGGGACAGTGCTGATCTGTGGGGTGGCAAGGGACACAGGACTTCTGGGAGCTGGCATTGTTCTGTGTCTGCTTGCTGATCCCACACGTGTATTTGACTTGGTGAAAATGAATGACACCACGCAGTTAGGATTTGTGCACCTCTGTGTGTCATACTGCAATTTAAAAGTTTACTGAAAACCAGCAACTAAGCAAAATGATACACAGGGGTATCAGGGGTACAGGGAGGTCCAGCCACTTTGCTACGGCAGGTGGGGACAGCGTCAGGTGTCCTGGTTCGGTTGTGCAGGACCGGGATCTGATACCTCTGATCTCGGTGTCTGGCCGTGGCCTTAGACGTACGGTGTCGGTTTGTGTCTGTCTTTGTTATAGAACCAGCTGCACAGTGTAAGGATTATGGGTATCAGGTCACCTGGGGGTCTCACTGCCCCGGTGCTGGTGCAGCCAGGTCGCCGTTGTCTCGCTTGGCTCTGGGTCCTCGGATAAGGGCCTCGGGAAGTCTTTGCTGATTGGATCTCGCATCAGGAATTTCTTTCACATAAGCTTTTTATCTTCAGTTTATCCTATTACATGTTTTAATACAAAACAAAGAGTCCCTGTAATCCATGAAAATCCTTCTTGAAAGAAAACTGGTGGATCTGGTTTGAAATGCAGCTGACGTAAAGACAGAGTCTGCCAAGTGACTGTGGGTTTCGTCCCTTTGCAGGAAATCATCAGTGCGCTGCCATTCGTCAAGCTGTCCTTAGATGACTTTCCTGACAACAAAGACATCCACAGCGACCTGCATGCCTACGTCCAGCACAGGGTCCACAGCAGCCAGGACATCCTCAGCAACATCTCCCTGAACGGCAAGGCCGACGCCGCCCTCATCGGGAAAGTCAGCAGCCACCTGGTGCTGCGGAGCCTCGGCTCCTACCTGTACCTCAAACTCACCTTGGACCTCTTCCAGAGGGGACACTTGGTGATCAAGAGCGCCAGCTACAAGGTGGTGCCCGTGTCGCTGTCCGAGCTCTATCTGCTGCAGTGCAACATGAAGTTCATGACCCAGGCCGCCTTTGAGAGGGCGCTGCCGATTCTAAATGTGGCCCTGGCGTCCCTGCACCCCATGACGGACGAGCAGATCTTCCAGGCGATTAATGCCGGCCACATACAAGGGGAGCAGGGGTGGGAGGACTTTCAGCAGAGGATGGAGGCCCTCTCCTGCTTCCTCATTAAGAGGCGAGACAAAACCCGCATGTTCTGCCACCCGTCCTTCAGGGAGTGGCTTGTTTGGAGAGCGGATGGCGAAAACACGGCCTTCCTGTGTGAGCCCAGGTACGACAGGCCGCCTCCCGGCAGCTCTTTGCAGGGAGTCTGCTGTGCAGTCGGGAAGGGGATTCAAGCACGACTCATGCTATTTAACGGAAAGATAACACGGGATGAATAATTCAGGAGGGGCACTGGAAAGTTCTCTCTGCTACTAAACAAAAGCTGCCTTCCTTGAATTGCTAGAATTTTAGGGCTCCTTGGTACATGTGGATGAAAGAGAAGCGAGGCAGTGCCCAGGTGATAATCCTTTGCTGATCCTCTTCTGGATCCGGGTCCCCTCTCACAGGGGTCACCTGTGGAAAAGTGTGAGGTCAGCCTTGGGGAACAGCTGGCCTCCCTAGAGCCTGCTCACAGCCCCGTTTCTTCACCTCAGGGGCGGGGGTGTCTGTGGACTGCTTCACACGCTCGGCACGGCCACTCTCCCCGCCTCCTCTTGAGCTTGGGGCATCTTGTCCCTGGGATCTGATGCATCTGCAGGCCCAGAGGGGAGCACTGCGGTCACATCTGGCCACCCTTCTGTATTTATGTTCTGCATGGTGTAACACCTGGGGTCTGGGGTCAGGAAGATTCAGGTTCAGAACTCAGGTGCCCTGCTTACGAGATGGTGGTGGGGCGGCTGCATCCAGGGAACCAAAGTTTCCCCTGAGGATTTGCTGCAGGGTGGGCCAGGGTGCAGCTTCCTCACCGCCCAGGGCAGGAGCAGGTGGGAAGCCAGCCCTCGCTGTGACATGGTGGTGCTAGTCAGGGTGAGAGGCTGGGGAATTCGAGGTGTGGATACTCTCAGATAAGGGTGTGTTTGTGTCCCCCACCTCCGCCTGGCCCTGGCCTTGGCCTGCCTCATTGCTATCTTGAGTGGCTTCTGCCCTCTGTGTCAGAGTTGCTCCCGACCCTGTGTAACAGGTCTGACAAGCTGCTAAACTGTCCCTTTTGGACTGGGCTGGGCACTGGATCAGACACTGGGGCCCAGAGATGAAATGAAGAAGCACTTGTGAGCCGCACACTCCCTTCTTCCCATGAACACTGACTTCACATTGACCCGCTGGGTCTGCAGCTGTTTCACGGTGGGGATAGGCTTATTTTCTTAGGCAACACTGGGCTAAAAGTTGATTATCTTTCGAACCTGCTTTGGGGCAGTAAACTGCAACTCCCAGGTTATTTAGCCAGACTGTAGTAACTAGGTGAAAAGTGTGCTGTGACATACTTAGCTAGATCAGATTGTTTTTCTAGGAAATGGCAGATGGATTTCTGGGGAGATAGTGGGGTGGAGACCAGCCTTGCTGACGGGAGATAGCAGGCGTGGCTTGGCCTGCGGGCTGAGTCAAGGGGAGGGGGTGCTGTAGATGACATCAAGGTGTTAAGCATCAGAAACTAGGAATGGCTTTGCTCTTAGAGTGGGGAAGAAAGGCAGGGATGTGGGGAGAGTTTTGCTGGGCAGGAGCGGCTTGGTTTTTTAGCAGTTTGAGTTTATGGGGTTGGTCGCAAGTTTCTGATGACAGGTGGAGTCTGACGGTTGGAGAAGTTGGGTTGAAGATATGGCATCACTGAGGGAGAGGTGGCAGTGGGACTTGGTGAGGAAGCACAGTTAGAAGAAAGGGACTCCGGAGACAAGGAGAAGAATTCCAGGGAAGGAGGTGAGTAGGTGCTGCTGAAAAGTGAGGGAAGATGAGGACTGAGAGGAAGCCGTGGGTTTCCTTTGTGGGAGGAGGTTCTGAGATCCTGAGGAGGTGCCTTCCCGTGGGTTGTGTGACGAGGGAGGCGGCATCCTGGTGTGGGAAGAGGGAGGTTTGGGGTTGTTTGAGTGTGGGGAAGGGTTTTTTTGTTTTTAATAACACGGGAGACGGGGATGTTATTGAAACATCGCTGAGGTGGCGTGGGGAAACAATCTGGGAAGGAGAAATGGGAGGTGCGAGGGGGTGGGATCAGGCAGCCTCTGTGTCCCGTTGAGTCTGTTCCCAGCACCATTCTGGCTGGATTTTGCCTGTTGACATGTGTCTCCTCCAGTCACTGAGAGCTGCTAGAAGGACCTCACACCATTGCCCGGGGGTCCTCAGTGTCAAGCATGGTGCTGGTTATAGGGGTTGTTAATGCACAAATGAAAGATCGGGTTACGCTGGTGAAGCGCACAGGCGTGAGCGTTGTGTAGACTGTGGTTCAGGCTCTGCTTGGTTGTTACCACCCATGTGACCGCTCTTGAGCACATCATCTGCCGGTCCAGGCCTCTGTTTCCTCATGTACACAAGTTGGGAATCCTAATGCTTAGTGATTCGCAGGGTCAAATGGGTAAGTGAAATAATTCAGTTAGCTTTTTGCATCTGGCATATAGTAAAAGCTCGGTAGGTGTAAGCTTTGGAAAATGAGCAAACTCGTAAGTGCAGGTAGACTTAGGAGGGGACATGGCCAAGGCTAGGAGGGAAGGAAGGAAGGGCAGATGGGATGTAGGGGACCACAGGTACCCAGAGATTGCAGGGTGAATTGTCTCTTCAGAGAAGTGGGGAGCTACTTGCTTAGCTGAGAGCCCTGGAAACCTTTGGCTCAGCCCCTGAAGGGTGCGTGGTCATCACCCACAGGGGCCAGCCAGCCACGGTACTTAGCTTAGCATGTCTTTGTGGTGGATGCAGATGGCTGCAGACTAGGAGACTGAGGATGGCTAAGCCTGTGTGTGGGAGAGTGGCTTTGACTGGAGTGATGTGGACCAACACATGGATGCTAGAGACCAGTGAGGGCACGCAGCATTGGAAGGTGGCAGAGGGTGGTTTCCACAAGAGCAAAGAAGGCTCTCATCTAAGAGGGGAAATAGAAGCTTGAGGTCTGGGAGGTAGAGGGTGTGCCGGGGAGCATGGCGTATGTGCTCTAGACCCTTGTAAGACATTAGACAGGACATTTATTCGGTGGCAGTGTGACCTTAAAGGTCATGCCTTCCCCATGGAGTAAAAAGCAAAACCTCTGGGTTTCCACTTGCAATGATGTCCTTGTCTCTATCGTGATCCATGGTCTGTCTATGTGAGAAATAGGCGTCTGGGTAGATAAGTAAGACTTAAATGATGCATGTTTTTAATCCCCTAGATCAGCAACTGCTAGAAAACACATTTAGGAGAACACCTTTCTTTTCACAGTGTTTATCTTTCCCTCCACAACTACCTGATTTTCCTCAGCAAAATAGCACCTCAGAGTTGACAGGTTAATAGAAATGAAAATAATTCACATTGTACAGAAGTCACTGCTATTGGAGAAGGCAGGTCTTAGCATCTTTTGCAAATGCATTGGCTCAAAGGCATGGAGGCCACAGAAGACAATAGTCCTGCAGACGTGGAGGGGAAAATGGATAGGATTGCTCCTTCATGAGAGGGTTAGTGGGGGATTAATTGGTGGTGTCAGTTGAATGTCCACCATGTGCCCAGACAGAGCAAACCCACTCATACAGCTTAGCTTTCTTACTCCTGCGAAGATCTGTGCTCCCTTCAAGCCCAGACAGAGTGCTCAGTGTTTCTGATTGTGAGCGCTTGCTGCACATGGCCTGGTTTTTCTCTCCTTTCCGTTATTAAGGCCTTGACTGTTGGCCCAGGTCTACCCCCAGGGGACTACTCCCATTGTATGGGAGGGAGGGGGCAGAGGAGGGGGCCTGAATGTCAGATTCAGTGACGCTTCTGCTCCACCTGTCCATTTGCACGTCTGTCCATCTGTCCCTCCATGAAATACATACAGGAGTGTTTACTGAGTCTGGGCAATTGTTAGCTATTGCTGTGAGTTAGACAAGACCCTTAGTCTTGTGGAGTTCACATTTTTGTAACAGACACAAATCAACAAATAAACTGATGAGAGAGTGATGGACAACGAACTGGGGTTTGGTGGTTCCACAGATAAAAACCTGCCCTGTCCTAGGGCCTCTCTGAGTCACTCCACAGGGATAAGGGAACTTGGAGAAAGACCTTAAAAATGACTTGAAGGATAAACAGCATTTTACTGCGCAGAGGCACCCGTTTTGTTTGGTGATGCTGAAGCGCCAGGACAGTTCAGGGGTCTGGAGGCGAAGTTTGCCCCGAGGGCCTGCGGGGCGGTGGGCCGGGTCTTAAGCTGCCGGCCTTCGTGTTTCTCGTCCCAGGAATGGGCACGCTCTCCTGGCGTTCATGTTCTCGCGACAGGAGGGCAAGCTGAACCGCCAGCAGACCATGGAGCTCGGCCACCACATCCTGAAGGCGCACATCTTCAAGGTGAGACCCACACTGCTGGAGGAAGGGTTTCGTTGCTGTCATGCTCAGGTGTTGGTTCTGGAGACGGCTTTGTCAGCCCGCACAGCCCTCTGTGAGCCCCGTTCCCAACACCCACCGCTCCGTCCCCCCCCCCCCCACCGAAAGTAACCATTTTTCTCACTTAGTATCACTCAAGTGTGCATCTCAATGCTGTGATTAAATTTTACTTCCCCCCCCCAAATCTCTTCTTTTCACCTAAAGTTTTCAGTGCATTCGTTCCCTGTTATTTCCTTGTTACTTGATTGTTGAAGAACCTGAGTTACGTGGCCTGTGGATTTCACACCGCCTGGGTTTTCTGATTGTGTCCTTATTTCTCGTGATCTAGTTTAACATGTTTCTCTTTCCTCTGGATTTCCTGTCATTTGGTAGTTATATCAAGAGGCTTAACCAGGTTCAGGTTTGATTTTTATTTTTTCAAGTTGTCACAATTATTTGTACAGGCAAACCTCGTTTTATTGCACTTTGTTTTGTACTTTGCAAATATTGCCTTTTTGTTTCTTTTTTTTTTAATAACAAATTGAAGATTTGTGACAACCCTGCACTGAGCTAGTCTTTCGGCACCATTTTTCCAACTGCATTTACTCGCTTCGTGTCTCTGTGTCACATTTTGGTAATTCTTGCAGTATTCCAAACTTTTTCATCATTGTTATGTTTGTCATGGTGATCTGTGACCAGTGATCTTTGATGTTACTGCTATGACATACTGAAGTCTCTGATAATGGTTAGCATTTTTCAGCAAAGAAGTATTTTATTTTTTAGCAGTGAAGTAGTTTTTAATTAAGGTATGTACATTTTTAGACATAATGCTATTTATTGGCACACGTGATCAACTACAGTATAGTGTAGACATAACTTCACATGTGCTGGGTGCACAGGAAAACCAAAAAATTTATGTGACTCCTTTTATTGCAATGTTCGCTTTATTGCTGTGGTCTGGAACTGAACCTGCAGTATCTCCGAGGTGTGCCAGTTAGTTAGAACACTCTGTAAGTCTGAGTGATTTTCCTGCATCAGGAGGCATGGCCTGTGTGCCTGCTTCTCTCAGTGTGATGCCATCAGCCACTACTGGTGTCTTCCTACATTAGGGATTATAGGTGGTCATATTCTAACTTTTATTCTTCTTCTAATTGATTGGAGAACCTCTGTAAAGAGAAACTCTCTCCGCATCCGCCATCCTTTCCTCAGGCATACAGTTGGTGTAGCAAAGGCAGGGTAGTTCCTTGGCCCTTGGGTTTAGGGTAGGGAGGCTGACAGGTCGGCACAGGCTGTACCCCCGGGGCATATCTGCTTTGACGGCCGCTGCAGGTGGGAAAGGAGATGTTGACACTGATTTGTTGCTGTTGTTTCAGGGCCTCAGCAAGAAGACGGGCATCTCTTCAAGCCACCTCCAAGCCCTGTGGATCGGGTACAGCACCGAGGGGCTGTCCGCCGCCCTGGCCTCTCTCAGGAATCTCTACACTCCCAACGTGAAGGTGAGCAACCCTCTGCCAGGAGGGCCAGGGCCCCCGCCTGGCCGCTGTGGCTCTAACAGTCCTACTGTCCCTGCACTGGGTGGCGGCCAGAGGAGGCGGAGAAGCTTCTAAAGATGCTCTTTCCCTGATGTAAAGCATGCAGACTTGAATGCTCTGTTAGCGGTGCTCTTCTACAGGGTCTGCTTTCGCTCAGGCAGGAAGATATGGGTGGTTGGGGGGCTGCTCTGTGAGCACTCGGTGACTGGTTCAGAGTGGATGTGATAAGGGAAGCAAAGGTCAGAGGGAGCTTTCCAGGGGAAATTGATGTTTTTAAGGTGTCCTGATTTCTCATCTGGACTCTCTTTATGGTTCCTAGGAAATTGAACACTGATGAGTGGCACAAAGCTATGGGTATGCAGAGGAAAAGGATCTCTGTAGGTTTCCCGCGCACATGTATTTATGACCACGCACAGCATGTCAGGGTCTGTTCGCTGCTGAGCCAGGAGCTTCCTTGCTCTTGGTCTCTGCCTGTTATGTCACAACGTTCTGCTGAGCTTTTTAGGATAGACTTTCCTTCCTCATTTAATGCAATCTGAGAACCTAAAGCACACTGAAGACAAGTGTCTGGTTAAGGCAACAGAGAGAGGTTAACTCCCACAAGGGGTGTGAGCGCCCTGGGCTTGCGTTATAGTGGCTGACAGCCGTCCTTCCTTGTGCAAAGTAGGATGAGAGCATCATTGTCTTCACATTTTAGATTTCTGCCCACTCAACACATCGGCTGGACTCCAGGCCTTTCAGCCCCAGGCCCTCACGTGCCCGGCTGCTTACGAAAGCTCTGACATCATTTTCCAAGGAGCCAGGTCCTCCCCTTCAGTCAACTCCATGAAAACAGTCACACCTGTTCCAATAGCACAAAGGTGACCTGTCTTGGTCACAGTGTAGTCAAGAGAAGCCCCGAAAGTTTCCGGGAGTCTGTGTTTCACTTTTCCTCACTTTGGTTGGTCAGACTCACCTAGGAAGGGGGCCACATGCCTTAGAGATGGCTCCTTAGAGGACACTTCTGCGGGACACTCTCCGGGGACTTCCCTGCCTCTCTTACCCTCCTGTCAGCACCTCCCACCCTCAGCACCTACACTTGGGATGTGTGTCTAGAGACTAGGGCCTTGCAGAGGGCTTCCTGTGCCTGGTGATGTGTGCTTTGCCCCTTCTTCTGCCTTCCCTGTGTTCCTGGTGTCCAGTGGTCCCTCACATCCATTCAAGGACCTCCTACGGATACCGAAGTCCAAGGGTGCTCAAGTCCCACATATAAAATGGCACAGTGTTTGAACATAACTTACACACGTCCTCCTGTATTCTTTAAATCATCTCTAGATTACTTACAATATCTAATACAATGTAAAGGCTATGTGAATAGTTGCTGGCACACAGAAAATTCAAGTTTTGCTTTTTGGAAACTTTGTGGAAAATTTTTTGCAAATATTTTCAATCTATGGTTGGTTGAATCCACAGATGCAGAATTTACTGATACAGAGGGCAGGCTATATTTATTATTTTTTTCCATCTCTTTTTTCCAGTTGAAATAAGATTAACATATAACATTAAATTTCAGCTGTATCACCTTGTGATTTGATATTTGTTGGCATTGACAAATGATTATCACAGAAAGTCTAGTTAACATCTGTCACCACATAGGGTTATAAATTTTTTCTTGTGGTGAAAACTTAAGATCTACTCTCTTACTAGCAACTTTCAGGTGTACAATACAGTATTATTAACTATAGCCCCCCGGTGTACATTACATCCCCGCTTCCTGGTGTATAGAAGGGAGGGCGTAAGGACACTGAATGAGGAGCCTGAGTGTCAGGAGGGACCCTGCTGCCCAGTGCAGAGCCTGAGCTGGTGAGGGAAAGACCACCGCCACCAGGTGGAGGCGGACGAGGTCTTTGCAAAAATAAAAGTGCTGCCTCCTGGGGGAGGGTCTAGCTCAGTGGCTGAGTGTGTGCTTAGCACGCACAAGGTCTGGCTTCAGTCTCCAGTACCTCCATTAAAAATAAACCTAATTACCTCTCTCCAAAAAACAAACTAAAAACAAAGTTCTGCCTCGTGCAGGTGGACTCAGCCCATTAGGATTAGGGTTCCAAGCTTCATTTCTGCTCACTCTGTAGATGGATGGGCTTGAGTGCCTGTGTCCCGACCAAAGCCACGTGCAAGTTTTATGGGGTGAGGACAGAGAAGCCACTTTTGTAGTTAAGGAGCTCTGAGCTCCTGCTCCCACTCAGAGGGAGCTCTAACTTTCTACCAAGTTTCTCTGAAAAAAAAGGCAGGGAACATGCTGAGTGTCGGCTTCATGTAGTGATATTGTATGAAGAATTTTGGTTTTACTTTTTGTAGAAGTTAGAATTGAGTTTGCTCTAATAGCAACATTTCATCTTTCATTTCAACTGAAAGTGTATCTTTTGGCTTCTCCATAATTAATAAAATCCTGTAATGGTGGCAAGGGGAAAAGAAAGAAAAATTAAAATGGCAGTATCTGTTTTCACTATTTTAATGAATTATGGAAACAAAAGTTATTTTAATGTGGAGAAAAGTAAATGGGAAATACCATACTTTGTTGAATACAAGTTTAATTTAAGACAGTAAATTACAAAGTACAGTATAATAGTGCAATGAGCTTGACCCTCCTGGGATTATAAACTTTCCTCTTTGACATACTTGCAGTTTTAAGAGTCTTTCATCTTTACTGCAATTTTAAGAGTTAATTATCTTTGTTTTATAGAACTCCAGTGTCACCTACATCTACACTATCCCCCAAGTTATATAACTTGGTTACAGAATTTTATCCTTCTGTTTCTTTTATCTTTTATCTTTCAAGGAAAAAAGAGGGGGTTTTCACAGAATCTTGAGCAAATTACAGTAATTTAAAATTATGCATGCAATTAAGGAATTTTTTTGAGAGAGTATTAAATGTTGTCATACAGGAATGGATGTCATTTTGAGCAATAATTGCAGTTTGTCACTTTGGTAAATTAAAGTGACTTGCTCTGGAGTGATTACTTGGTAGATGAATTTTCATTTTGGTGATATGCCCATGATTTCGAGCAATGTGCTCTCCCATTGCCAGGCCAGGCTCATGCCAGCCTGGACTCTGGCTGGCCCACTGGAGTCCTTGCTGCCAGTGTCTCCAGGCTCCAGTCCAGCTGGTTGTTTTGCTCACATAATCCCACCAGACTGGCTGCCAGCCATGGGCTTCCCAAGGCTGTGGGCTCAAGAGAATTAAGGTTGTGATTCTTCTCTCAGCTGCAAGCGGGGAGGGGAGGAGACAAGAGTTAGGCGAGGCCTCTGGCCCACCCTCCCTTGGCTGAGAGGACCCAGTCGTGCTCTGCGTAACTATTAGGCAGCGCACATTTACACCGGATGTATTGATGTGAACCTCCAGTGTACTTAATGAGACAGCTGAGCCCCCACTTTACAACTGTGCTGGACAGTGCCTCCTCTGTTCCTCATGATCACGTCATTTTGCCCATCACTTGCCCCCCTTTTTACGTTCTTGCATTCACTAAACCCAGAAATGTGTAGATGATATTGCCATCTCCAAGTGTCATCCAGGGAGAGCTTCGGTGGTGGTGATGACCAGAAGATTTCCATATGGTTGGGGAAAAAGGTTGGAAAGAACCATTGAAACCGCTTCCTGGAACGTAGAGTAATCTTAGCCAGAGCTGCTGCTTCTGCCGCTGGACTGCACTATGACAGTCATCAGCTTTATGCCAGAGCTCATCTGTGCCTTACCCGCTCTTAGCTTCAGTTTTCTCACTTGTAAAATGGAGGTGACAAAAGAACCTTCAACACAGAGTGATGACGGTAAACTCACTGAGATGTTGAAGCTCTTAGGAAGATACTTGGCATTTATTATATGGTCAAGTGAGTTATTCCTGTTCGTGTTTCACTTACTTTCCGGAAACTGAGGTTCTGCTGTACACCCCTGAGAACGTGTGGATGTGCTTGTGGGTGGTGGTGAAGGGGAGCTGCCCACCGGCAGGCTTTGATGGGTTCAGACTCATATCTGCCATCAGATAAGCATGAGTTCTCCCTGCTGCTCTGTTCAGGTGAACAGTGCACGGGGGCCAGACCCTCTGGGTCACCAGGTACCTGGGGCAGGGCACCCTCCTGTATCTTCCAAGGGTCAGGAACTGACTGGGGCCCTTGTCCCTTCTAAAGATTCCGTTAAAGACGATCGTAACAATAGCAAGTAACTAAATTTATTTAGCACTTACAGGATGCCGAGGACTATGCTAAGTGTTCTGTGTGTATGGCATGTTCATTTGTAATCTTCACAACAACCCAAGGAGTGAAACTTCTTACCTCCACCTTTCAGATGATGAAACTGAGGGTGAGAGCCGTAATACTGTGTTGGGCAGGCCCACGCTCCCCGCCGCAGGTGTGCTCATCACCTGACATGTTTACAGCCATGGCTGCCAACTAGAACCACTGGGGAGCCCCGGGCCCCAGCCAAGTCAGAATCTCCAAGGGTGGGGCTCAGGCGCTGGAAACTTGCAAGTTCCCAGGTGGTTTCACTGTGCAGCAGGGTTAAGAAACATGAGTTAGGGGAAGATCCACAAACTGACGGGGGAGGAGGGGTAAGTGGTAAACATATTCTCAGTATTGCACCAACAAAGGAAATGTTTTTCCCAAGATGCAAATAAATGGTGAATTGATAACAAATACCTTTAGGTAATCTCAGCCCCCAAGCACATATCTTTCAGGTAAAGTCTTATCAAGTATTCAGCAAGTACTGAAACTACACCTTCCAACCTTCTTAGGAAAGAGCTTCTGTCCAGTAGAATGAGGTATACTGTCATTTTATTAGGAGACGCCTGAATCACGGAGAGGTTGAGTAATTTTCTGAAAACCACGCAGCACGTCAGTTAAGGGGCTGATTGAGAACTCATATTGTTTAATCCATCATCTTTTTCTCTTGGGCTCATGGATCTCAAGAGGGGATGGGACTCCTGGGAGAGGAGGTGGAGTGTAACTGGCTGTCACCGTCACCCTGGCAACTTACAAACTGTCCTGACCTATCCTCTGGTGACCAGAGTCCAGCGCGCCCCTCAGTGATGCTATGTGTGTGTTGAGAAAGCTGCTAGGGTTCTTGTATATACCTCTTGCCTAAGAACCTATTTACCTATTTCCTAGGCCTGGATAAAATCCCCAGGTATTTCAGCAGCATTGTGCTATTCCTGCCATACTATTGGTGGTCACTCAGAGGGAAGTAATTTTCTCAAAAAACCATTACTTTTGTTGAGCAGTTAACCTTTTAAAATGCTTTCAAATCCTATTTGAGTCTGGTGCTGTTTCTAAGAGCAAACCTATATAGACTTGCGGAGCAGGCTCGGCAGGGATTAGTTAGCCCCAGGTTGAGCATCACATGTCACTGGTGGAACAGGGACACTGCTCCTGGGTTCTTGCAATGCCATGTTTTCTGCCCTTCCATCCACATGTTGGCATGTTGCTGGTTGGCAGCAGGGGGCTGGGCTGGTGCTGACCTGAGTAGGGCTGGTAGATGGTCCCACTGATGGTGTGAATGACAGGGCAGGTTCCCGGGAGCCTTCTTGTCACTTGTGTACGAGCCATGCCTCCTTGGATGTGAGTGATGGTCCTGATGGTGGGAAGGAACTGACTCCTGGGCTGTCCTTGCCTGTGAAGGGCTTGTTTGCCTCTCTGTGAACTTCTCTATCTTAGAACCAGTGTCTTGTGCCATGGGCTAAGCTGGAAATGGAGTGGCAGAGGGGATGGACATGCCTGGAGTTGATGTGTGCGGGGGAAGAGGGTGGGTTGTGTGCACAGGGGAGGGCTGGGCGTGTCCTGTGTAGGATGGGGGACTTCTCCCTGGTGTCCCAGCACCGAAGCAGGCACCCATAGGAGGTGATCCTTTGTCATCTGTAT